TTTTGACTTACTGACAATGTCTGTGCATATGCTTTCAAAGTGATATGGTGACATGTGACATTTATGAGATATGAGTGACTTTTAGTCTCTCCATCTGTTTAAATATATACACATAGGTACAGATTTCAAAACGTATACACATATGCATATAGTACACATCTGTTTGTTTAGCTTTCAAAAAAAAAAAAAAGAAAAAAGAATTTTGTCTCGCATAGGTTTTTGATGAGGAGGTTTGAAGAAAAGCGTGTAAACATATCGTCACACAAGTTGATCTAGCCCAGATATTACTACTACTTCGCTAATCGCTCATGCCCCGAATTAAATTTGCGTTGAAATTATGCTTACTACTAGTGTATCTTAACATAGCATAAAAAATATGAAATCATGTTCGGTTTTTATATTTGCTTTAGTCATTAAAAAACTAAAATTAATTAATAAATATTTCAGATTTGAACGATGGGTATCTAAAAGTCGCTTTACAACGAGCATATATTGTGTTTTTGTTGTTGTCACGTTTTGTTTTTTATTACTCTTCTATTTGTCAGTACATTTTTTAAAATTTTTTTTTATTGCATTTATATGTGCTCATATACGTTTGTATGTATAGGTATGTATAGGTATATTACGCCTGATTCCGTGCCATTTCAGTTGATATTTATTTACAGTAAGTAAGTAATCCTGGCATAACTATAAAATCTGTTTTCATATATTTTGACATTTAATGGTCAACTGGATGAAAAGTTATTCAGTCAATACAACAGCTACCACGCCACCACGGCTACCGTTATTCTGTAAAATGTATTTCATTTAATTTCATTGGCGCAGTAAAATGTAAATATTTGTTGAGTTACTTATGCACGCATATATATTAATGTATGATGTCTGTGTGCGTGCGTTATGATGTATCTGAACGTGTACGTTTGCCTGTGCCTGTGACTGTGCGCGTGTGTGTGTGCATGTATGTGTATGTGTATGTGTATGTATGTGTATGTGTATGTACTATGGAAACATTTATGTATATCCTCTACAGTTTGCGGTATGTGTACTTATATATATATATATGTATATATGAATATATGCGCCCATGCATGTATTTATGTATCCGTCAGGAGCAATAACAACAATGACAACACAGCTTTTTTTTCAATTTGTCAGAATTTTTCAGTTCGTCCTGTGCATATCAATCATAACTACATACGCATGCACATAGATGCGTGTGTGTCTATCTACACTTATATATGTTATATTGCATGTTGTATACGCGTACGTGCGTTTGTAAATTAAATTTTAAGTTAATAATCTTTTATGCGGAATATTTTACTTGTACATACTGCATATAAGTTATTGAGAAAAACTTATGCAAGATTTATTTATATTTCTTCAATTCGTAAGAGTGAATGAATATATGTATATGTAATATATTTATTTATCATATATTTATAAATGTTTGTGTGTAATTGTGTATGCATATATATGTTGGCCCTTACGAAATTGCGCAAACAGACGAGCGAAAGTTTCGATACCTGAATAAAGGGATGCAATCATCTTTGCCGTATAGCAAACTATCTTAAGAAAACTTCGCTTAATTAGTAAATCATCAATCAAAAAGTGTTTTCTGGATTCTCGAGTTTCATGAACAAAAGATCATAATCTTAACGTGCTTAAGTTTCGCGTCATCATCTACAAATATGTATAGATAGGTATGCGTATATATAAAAAGGTTTGTCTCTGTCCCACTACACTTGTGAGATTTCGTCAAAAATTTGCATTAATATGCAAGACTAGCAGACAGTTAAGATAGTTTTTTTTTTATCATTGCATGGTAATTACGAATCTCTTATAACTATGTCGGTAAATCAAATGATTTTACAAAAATTTTGACAAACACTTCAAGTTACAAAGTTATGTGCACCACGTTTGGAATTTTGTGTAGCACTTCGCAAGTCTATGTTTCAATTGCTCTAAAGCCGCACTTTAATTAAGTTAATCATCTCAATATTACAAATATGTAGGTATGTTTATGCCCTTTGCGCTAAAGTGAAATCGTAAGGTATTTCAACAACGCTTGGTAATCGAACTGCACACATTTACTTCAAACTCAATTTGATTATGAAAACTTGCTTTCATCGTCTATCATACGCACAAATATCCAACGTGAACTTTATATAAAGAAAAAAACAAAAAAAAAAAAAAAAAAACACAATCATAACCCCACTTGCATGCTAAAGAAAAAAAAATAAAAATAATATTAGGTAAGAAAATTAGATTCGGTCGTAACCGAATTTTTAATACCCATCAACGTTAATCTAAAAAGGACGAAAGCCGTAGATGAACAAACGTTTCGTGCTCTATAATATGGCGTGGACGCAGCTGATTTCTTCTATTCTTAAAATAAAAGTTTTTGTCGTTTAGGCATGTGAGCGTTGTAGGCGTGTCCGTTGAAAAGTTTAGGTCAATTTCAAATTCTTTTGCAAACTTGTAGGCGATATCTTCACTTTCACTAACGGGACAATCTTTATTACATATACTACAAATGTGCGCAGACAGACAAATGGACAGACGAACAGGCGGACATTTTTAGATGCATTCCAAATTTGAAGCTGATCAAGAATTTTTAGGCTTTACCGAGTTCCTGCAGCTTGCTTCTGCGCGTCCATGCAAGTATTGAAAAAACAATTAAATTTTGATACACCATAATATCGGGTAGGCGTGGTCAATTTTTTTGCCATTTTATACAGAAATACTACAGCATCGCCCATAGAATACGCCTTCAAAATTTTTTATTTAATTTGCTATAGTTTATGAGCAATAAGGAAGAAATAAATTTTTCATTCCTTCTGACAAAAGGGGAGGTATTGTAAGTTTACGTGGAGCTGGGCGCGTGTAGTTCGAACGATTTGGCCCGACCTTTTTTAATACCGACCTACGTGCAAGAACTTCCAACGCTTCCGCATAATTTGAAATCGATAGATTCATTTTTAGGGCCAGGAGAATGTTTACAACAGACATTGAACACTCGACTGACAGACGGATATGCTTAAATCGATTTAGAATTCGATGTTAATCACGAATATATATATTTTGTGGGGTCTCTGGTGCTTTCTTCTGGACGTTGCAAGCGAATTGACAAAATGAATATGCCTCTTATGCCACGGTAATGGATTCAGAAAAGCACAAATCTTTCGTTGGCAAAGCATTCCGTGGAAACCAGTTCATTAAATCAATAATTATTGCATTCCCGTTGTTAATAAAGTCAATAACGTGGTATAAAAGCAACCGAGGCTCGGTAAATAAATGATTGTTTATTACTTTAGATTCTGTTGAATGATAAACTTCTTGATATACCTTAATAGATATCTATTGATAAAGTTGTGTGAAAATTACAAAACTCTTCGCTTAGGATTTATTTAATTTTCATTATGAACTCATTGGATGGCTCACAAACAAATTTGTAGCTGCATGCGATTTATGTATGTATAAAAACTAAAATTTGTTTTTTTTTTATGAATTTTTTTTTTTTTTTTGTTTTATTATACATTTCTCATATAAAGTGTTAATAGCTTTGAATTTATTGAAAATAGTAACTTTAAGCCAAGTTCGATAAAATTTGAAGAACATCTGTTTTTTGTTTTTGCAAAATTTTGCAAATATTTCTCTTTTGGAATTTACAAGGACCGGCTAATAATTTTCAAATGAATTAGTTAAGAGAAAACACCGCACTTCACGATTAGGATATCTTTTTTGGTTTTGCCATTTTTAGTACCATAGTCTTGAATAATGTCTAGTATCTTGAGGCCGCTGACTACTATACCAAATGGTATGCGTTGACCATTTAGAGTGGCCAGCTCTTTAAAGCTGATACTAAAATTTATAAGACCAGGCGGAAAACCGTCGAGATAATTTTGAGCAAAAGACAAAATACCACGCCCGTGCCCATGATCAATACAATTGTATTCATGCTCAAAGCCGGGCCTGGTGAGTATTTCGTTTTCAGCTGTTAATTCCCCCTCAAGCCAAAGAATGGGAAAAATGCGAATAACTTTCCATGCGCTCGATTCGCCATGACTGCAAATGCGTATAAATTCCAAAATCATTTCGGGGCAAGCTTCAGTAAAAAGTTGTATAGATAAGCGACCAAGCGGTCTTACATTCTTCACATATAAATCGATGAAGATTTTCGGTCTTAACAGTTGCCCTAGCATGGCTATCTCTGTCTTGTCGACGATATCGCGATATCTATCCATAATATAATACGGTACAGCATGTTTTTGCCGTTTCTTTCTTAACCGTGAACTTGCGCTCCCGAAGCAGGTGTTAATAGAGGATTTTACGGTTAGTAATCGGCAACCCAGCATAAAATTTTCCTGTTCGATTTGTTCTAAGCGCTGACAGGAGCGTACATGATTGGTGGGATATATGGCTTTGCTGCTTCTAAAATTTTCTGTAAAACCATGATTTCTTTGGATTTTATTAATTTTCGTAAGCAAAGCGATATTATCGTTCATGATACGTTTGCTGGCCTGATAATCCAATCTAAGTTGATCTATTTTAAGGAAAGTAGTAGTCATTAACGGCACTGGGGTTAGGTCAACGCGACTTTGTGCTTCTTTTAGCGACTTCTTGTGATCGGTTAACAGTTTTTTAACAGACCGCGGATCGATAGGCAGATAAGAATTTCTATGCGACATATTGTTTCGAAAATGGCTTAGAATGATGATTTGCGCAAAACAAATTTATTAAATGCAAATTTGAAATGAAAAATTTTCGAATTTTCTAATTTTAGACAAACTTCAATTTTCTTTGAACAGAGTTAACAAACTGATAAATAATAAATTTATTCGATATGAGGTAAGACAAAGTTTTCTGCATTCATGTTTTTGCCCCCCTCCATACCCCATTCAGTTCTTCCAAGTGTTATAATTTAAGTAATTGCTTTTTCTTTTTTTTTTTGTTTTTTTTTAATTTATGTATTCTGTACATTGTAGCAAACATTTACTTACTGTAAATATCACAGTGCTCGCCTTCATAGTGGGTGCCAAAGCAATCGCATGAGATGCCATAATAGTGATTAATGCATCTTGAACCGACAAAGCATAAGTTGTGCCTCGAATGGCATTTATCTGAACAGCCCTCATAAACGTTTTCATGTTTTGTGGCCACCAGCGGTGTAATCGGCAACAAATCGGAAGCAGCTTTACCCGAACTTAAAACAACGTTACGTATGCAGCCAACAAATGATTCAATAATATATTTGACACCATGCAGTTTCTCCTCCGAAGATAGTCCTGCGAGAAAATTAAAAAAAAAAAGAGAAAAAAAGCATCAACAAGAGCTTAGCATATATGTAACAGAGTAATAATGAAATTCACTTAAAATTATTACCGCACAGGATGGCTAACGAAAAATACACACAATATAATAACAACATTTTGTGTATGTTTTTTAATGATGAAATTAAAGGACAAAACAAGAAGAAAAAAAGAAGAAAAAGAGAAGAGAGTAAGAGAACCCACAATAATAGTAAACAGCTGCTGTTAACATCGACTTCTTAGTTAATTTATTTGAAATTTTTTATAAGCGTCGTTCAGTTGGAAAATGGCTCAAGTCGGTTTATTTTGATATTAATATAATTCATATATTCAGTTCAGATTGTTCATTAGGAAAAAGCTCGCTTAAACAAAATTCCCAGTCACGATATAACTGGTCTGGCATTGCCCATAACTTCTCATCACTTTTATTTTTAACTGAATTATTAAATGTTATGGTATTTTGACTTTAATCATTTACAGATAGTGACAATTCGCACTCGCTATCATATGGCGGGATAGCCTTAACACTAGAAAAGTTATGCGATTCTACATTCGTCTAGTGGGAAAGATTGCGATAAAACTTTGTCGTGATGCAATGCGCATGTGCGTATATCTATAAGCATCTATTACGGATATAAATGTTGAATTTCTTAAATGTTTTCATTTTTTCGGAAAATGAACACAAGTCGCTGTTAACGAGTAAGAAAATTGATTTTGGTCCGGACCGAACTTATTATACCCATCACCGTTATCCTAAAAAAAGACAAAGGAAGTAGAAGAATAAAATTTATATGCTCTGTAATGTGGAGTGGAGTGGGCGCAGCTGAGTTATTCTATTTTCAAAATAAAAGTTTTTGTCGTATAGGCATGCGGGCCTTATAGGCGTGTCCTTTAAAAATTCTTTACAGGCGATATCTTAAATTTTCAATAACGAACTGCGTGCAAGAACTTTTAATGCTTCTGCCTAATTTAAAGTCGTTAGATTAATTTTTGCGGTCAGGAGAATGTTTACAACAGATATTGCACAGACAGACGGACAAACGGACAGACGGACATGCTTAAATCGATTTATAATTTGATACTGATCAAGAATATTCATATACTTTGTCGAGTCTCTGATGCTGCCTTCTGGGCGTTGCAAACGCTTTGACAAAATGAATATATCCTTCATCCTTCGGTGATGCTTGATGTCTCAATGAACCTTTCAATGTTTTCTCTAACAACCAGCGACGAAGAAATTATGATTCTAGTTGCACTCGACAGCAGAAAAGCACATTAGTGCTATAATGTGTTGCGAAACATACGCAACAACTATATATAGAGTTCGCAGTAAAAATGCAATTGTACCTGGAAATGAGTCAATTCTGGATAGAATTGCTTCAATTCTGTGTAGTCAAGTGAATGATGTTCAACTTTCGATTTACGAATAGAAACAATCGTACGAGTCGTAAGACGTTACGGCTGTCGGCGTTACGTCACCTTAGGCACCCAGAAAAGATATCGATACAATAGTCAAGGTACGTTATGAGGAGGGAATGCGCAATGGTATGCTTAACCTTTAGAGACAGATATAGATTTAGATTGTATAGAGATTGAGCAAAGACATTGTCGCTGGGTGGTGGAAGCCACCATTAGTATCGTATTCACGACATGTAATAGATGGCTAGATATGTAAGGAAATATGAAGTGAATAAGTTTGATAGATGCTCTGTCGAATCCAACCAAGGTAGATGTTATCTTTCGAATAGCACTACGAATAATGTTTTCATCCACATTCTGAAATGGGGGGAAAGCGAATCTCTTACTCTAAAATGATTCGCGGACATTTAGTTGATTTTGGACGGAAAGTCATTAATTGTGCTTACATATATCTCATTAGGGTCACCACTTTTTACCTCCTGGTGTACCTTTATTATGGAGCATGTGCCTCACTTGCTAAGAAGTTGGCATACGCTTGATTGCTTTGCTTTCTCCTAACATACTTCAGCCTGTTACGCAACTTTTAATAGTCATTCGATTGTTGTGAATTGTGTAACAAATCCCAAAAAATTTAAACTATTTTGGTGGGCGGACTATGTTTGCTTCTTCACTACGGTAATTCTGCTTACTACAATTGCAGTGTTAATAAGTTAATTTTATTGTTATGTATTGCGTAAAAAAACCTCTAAAAATGTAAACTATTTGGGAGGGCGGGCTATGTGCGCTTCTTCGCCTTGGCAATTCTGCTTACAACAAGTATGGCGTTAATAAGTTGCGAACGAGATACCTCCGCACAAATTGAAATCAATAAAATTAGAAAATATCGGCGTTCATAAGGCGCGGCTCTCTTTTTATTAGTCTGTTAGTTAATAATACGGAGTAAGCGAACTAAAAGCGACAAATATTGTAGATCAACATATCCTTTACACGTTTAGGGTGTATTTTCAATTTCTATCTTTTTTTTTTTTTTTTCTGTTTATGTTTTTTTCTGTTTTTCCTCTTTTTGTTTCAATTTAGCGGTTTTGTTTTGTATTCAAAAACTTCAGTAAATGAGTAAAGTTTTGTTCATTGTCGGTCTTATTGTTGTTGTAGTTTAAATAGTTGCTTGTCGTACATGTAAAATCGGTAATGAAGATTAATGAACCAGTTTAACAGTACATAATAAGTTTCATAAGTTTTTCTCATAGATATCCGACAAAAATAGTTTCGAAAATAATTTTTACACATTTTATTAAAAATATCTTGTGCGAGTACTATTCACATTATATCATATCAAGGCATATGTTATGCGGATACGGATATACGCGGTATATGCGTTTAATGTTAGCGCTTCACAGTTGGCCGTAACCGAATTGAGAAATGTCATAATTCCGAACTTTTTTTTCTTTTGTTCTCTAAGAAATGATTAGATTTCAAGGTTAGTACTATCTATGCTGCTATGAGCGAACCTGTAAGAATAAAAATTTTCAACATAAAATAAATAAAGTTTTTTCTTCTCTTGATTAGGAAGCCACGATAAGCATAATTTAGCAGCACATACTCTAGTAGGTCAGTCGGATGCATTCTCCTTTAAATCTTAAATACTAAATAAAAATATTGAACTCTCTTTAAATGAAAATGATCTAAGTTGGTACATGCCCTGTACACTGGCAAGCGTTAGTCAATAACAATTTTGATGAAATGTTTCAATATTCGGTACATTTTTAGTTTGAAAAAATTAAAGGAAAATAATTTTAAATTGCTTTTCCCATAGAGAGAGAGAGAGAGAGATTGTGCAGGTCTTAATCCAATTTTTCGTCAGTCTGGCATTTATTTTATACCCATCATCGCAAGAAGAAGGGTATTTTTTACTTTGTCAAAACGTTTGCAACGCCCATTAGGAAGTTTCATAGACACCGCAAAGTATGTATGTTCTTGATCAGCATCAAATTCTGAATCGACTTAAGTATGTCTGTCTGTCTGTCCATCTGCCCGTCTGTGTGATAAATATTGTAAGCATTCTCCTGACTGTAAAAAAAAAAAGACGCTATCGACTTGAAATTTGGCAGAAACACTGGAAGTCGATATAGAAAAAGGACCAAATCGATCGAAGGACACGCCCACACTACCACGTAGACTGAGAATATCTCTGTTTTTCAATAAGAATAAATAATTCATTTCTTGCTTATTCCTCATAAGGTGCAATAGATACAATCTACATAAATATATTCTATGGGCCACGGCTGACCACGGTTACTCTATATTGTAATTGTATGACAATTGAATTTTTTTTTTTTTTAAATATTTTTATAATGTGCAAAGTATGCAAGTTTTTGGCTAATTCGAAAATTCGGAATGCATCTAAGCATGTCCGTCTGTTTGGTTGTTTATCTGCCTGTCGGCCCAACTGTGCAATAATTGCGGTAAGGCTTCTCTCGTTCGCAATAATCAACATATTGAAAAGAATTTGCATATGACTGAAAATGGTTGAAGGATAGGCCTACAACGCGCACACAACTATGCTACAAAAACTGTGAACATATTTGCTTTCCATGTTTTCTGCTTGTTACTCATAAACTACGTCACATACATACATGTACACATGTAAATTTTCACTTTTAAGAAAATGTATTTATTTTGGCCCTTTTTTTTATATCTTTTCTAGGATAACGGCGATGGGTATAAAAGATTCCGTGATTTCGTGGCCGAGTATAGTTTGCTTACTTGTTGTTGTATTTTACATCTTTTAAAATTACATTTTAGATCATCTCATTTTCTATTTTAGTAATAGTTTTTACCTTTCGATAATCTTGATAAATGTTCAAAGTATTTTCTTTTCTTTGCAAATTTTTACCCATAAACGAAATCTCTGTCGTTTGAAGAAATAAATGATCCGTTAGAAGAAATTTTTGATATATAAAATATTTATCATCGCAAACTGGTTGAATAAGTTTTAATCATATAAATACGAGGTATTTGTTTTGCTTTCGTTCGACACGCGTGTTGTTGCATGGGTTTTGTAGTTTCATTTTAAATTAAAATATTTTGTCTGCATGTTATCAAGGTATTAAGAAAAAAAAAAAAAAATTTATATTTAATACACTATAATATTGGGTAGGCGTGGTCAATTTTTTTCATTTTTTGTGCAAAAATGCTATAACGTCGCCCATAGAATATGCCTTCAAATTTTTTTTTACATTTAATTACCATAGTTTATGAGTAATGAGCAATAAACTAATTTTCCTTTCATTCGTTTTGGAAAACGAGAGGTATTCTATGTTTATATGGTGCTGTGTGCGTCTCCTTCGAACGATTTCGCCCATTTTCAATATCCATCTGCGTGCAAGAACTTCCAATGCTTCTGCCTAATTTGAAATCGACTTTTGCGGTCAGAAGAATGCGTACAACAGACGGACAGACGGACAGACGGATATGCATAAAGTGATTTAGAATTTACTGCTAATCAGGAATGTATGTATGCATTATGTTGAGTATCTCAAGCTTCCTTTTGGTCGTTGACAAAATGAATACATTCATCGTCTTTCGGTATAAAAGGATTTCTCATCAAGACACTGCAGAAATAATGCAATTATTTTTAATGATATTATTTTTAAAGCGTAGCATTAAACTTGTTAAAATCAACTGAAAATATGATAAGAAATTTCTTTACATCTGCTATAAAAAATATAAAATTTGTGATAAGCTTAACCCGTTAGGCATATTTTGATTAAATATATGAGGCAATATGCTCAGCAGGAATAATTTAATTATTAGTTTATTCCGAAAACTGCTTTTAGCATACAAAGGATATAACCATAAATTAAAAGATTCAAATATATATTTGCTTTTCAAGTTCAGCATAATTTTTGCAATGATATTTCGATTTTAAAATACCTCCTTATAGCTACTAAGAATTTTTGATTTCAAGAGAAATTCTTGCAAAAGAATATGCAAATGAAGTTTATCGGGGACGAGATATGGCGTTAGGTTTAACCATTTCTTTTGGAATTAGTGGTCGTTCGAAAATGCAAAATGATACGAAATAGTTTGCTATTTCGACGAGGTAGGAATATTTTCTAAATTAGATCAGAACGCTTAAAGGAAGCAGATCTTTTCTATTGCTATGCCATATATCGCTTGTCGTGCCAGGCGATAAAAAATTATACTTAGTTTGTACGGATGTATGCAACCATTGCTGTAGATTCATCTTTTATTATTTTAATCGATTCAGAATCGGAAACTGTTTCTAAGTTTGTCTATACGTCTGTCTGCCTGTTTAGTTGTCGTTTCTTCAACCACACAAATGCCGCGATCTTTAACACATTTTGATTTCATACATTTGGCACGTCCATGGATGAATAAGCTATTGAAAGTGAAACGGTTCGGATCGGACGACGGATTTTCGATCACTTCCTATAAAAAAAAAGAGACAATTTTGCGAAGTCATTGTATGACTAACTGTAAAATGGAGCAAGATATTTCATGATGGGCCGTTTGTTGTTACAATGTCTTAAAAGAGACTCAATTTAATTAATATACTTGATGGTAATTCCACCATTCTGACGATTCATATACGAAAGAATTGAGTAATCTATTTGAAAATTATGTTCTATTAAAATATTTCAAATGTAATTTCCATCCTATAAAATAAACGTAAGCAAAAAACACTCGCACACGAACTCGTACTGATATATTGCTAATGATTTGATCGCTTTATTTAGTCAGGCAAAGTTTTACTTATACAAGTTGACCAGTAAAAATTTCGAATGAAAGCAACACAAATTAAAGTTGTGTCACATATTTTAATGCTAAATAACAACATCAATACGTGTGCATGTGTTTATGTAGCTGTGACTCTATGAGCTTGTTTCAGTAAGGAATTTAATTTCCCGGTAAAATTGCAACCAAAGAACGCTACGAAGAGAGCGAGAAAGTGCTGAAGAAAAATTGTATGCGGTTTAGGTCGAATTTTTCGATATCCATCGCATATTGCCCGTCTATTCGGAAATTGTACGCTGTCGTCTGTCCGTCGGTGGCCGCGACTAGCAAAATAGGTAACATTACGATAACAAGCTTATTTGCTGTTAAATACTCCTTTAGTAACTAAAAAAAAAAAAAAAAACTGAAATGATTTTGAAAACCTATTGCTTGAATGTATGTATCTGAAGTGTCAAAAGTTCACGGCGTTATTTTAAGGGAGTCATTGGCTGCGATTCTTCGAAATTCATTCTTCTCTTAAGAATAAGAAGAAGACGGCGGCACGAGGAATGACGGCTATTAATGAAAATTGAGATCATATTTATGAAACGAAAATTTTCCATTACTTTGGTAAATGTCTCCATATGAGAGTCAATTTCGGAACAATTAAATTGATTTGATTATATTTGCCCTTTCGTCGGAAACCGGAAATAAACGATACATAATCTATACATCAAGTTTTCATATCAATTACTACGGCTTTGAGTTGGGCACAAACACATATATTGAGAAGAGAAGTACTCGTGATACCCGATACCGATAGTATTCGTTCTAGAAAATATACATATCTTATGGGTTCTTGAAGATTATTTCTCTGCTTTTCAAAGGCTATGACAAAATTAATACACTTACATTTTTTGCTGATGAATACAAAAAGGGAAAAAGTCACATAAATTCTCGTATATAACGGAGTAGAAAACAGAGAAAAAGAGAGAGAGAGAGAGAGAGAGAGAGAGAGAGAGAGGAAAAAAAAAAGAAGAGAAACGAAAGCAGTTTATAACCATAAGTTGGAAAGCAAAAGGAATGTTAATCTAGGTTCGTTTTCCTTTTTTGTACGAAAAGAATTTAAAGTAGATTTTTATGAGAAAGGGGAATATGTGTTCAGGTAAAGTGCTTCAATTTGCTTTTTAATTTTAGTCATATGCGAATATTGTATTGTGGGATAGTTAATGCAAGAGATAGACTTACCGCCCACTAATACCACTGATGGTAGATTCGTTGAGACGCCATAGTTAGTATCATGATTTAGGCCCTTCAGATACACTTCCTCTTGATTACTGTCAACTCGTGCAATTAATCTTGCTCCATGAACATCGATGCGTACCTGAAAAAGCAAATGCATACGCACGCAATCATACATTTATACATACGTAACCATGTAGCAGTTAACACTGAGACACATAGACAAATATACAAATGAAATTTGAAATTATGGAATCGAAAGTTACATAAATACAAGCATTGAACGCATATGTGTGCGAGTTTATATATGCACACACATACACATACACACAGACAAGTTGTTGAAAGTGTTTTATGAAAAGAAAGATGAATGTTTCGGTGCAGATAAGACATGAAAAATACATAACATTAACATGCAGTACATTACACTGAATGCAAAGTTTACGTACATAACTACATCCAATAGGACATACATGAAAATTAAAAACTAGGTATGTAAAATTATTTAGCACATGAAAGTGTTTGTAAAAATGTTTATTAAATCAACACCTAAAAAACATATATACACACATATATAGCCTAAATATGCAAAAATATAGAAAAGAATCTATATATATATATATATATATATATCTAAATTTTAAAGCCTTTCAAGCTGGGCACAAACACATCACAAAATAATGAAATGAAACTTAACGAATACGGCCCTTCTCAGGAAGGTCGAGAATATTTTTCAAACGTGAATTTGATAAAATGGAGAATTGCATCCAAATATCAGAGTGAAACTCTTGGTAAATATTGTTTAAATCAAATTACACACACACATATACTTCATTCTTTTGTTCGCGTTGCGTATTTATGTGCGCTTGTATAAAAAGCACAAATCTCCGACATAGATACAATCAATATTTTACTTCAATCACCTCCCTCCTCACTATCCCCGGAATATGCCAGCTTACAACGATTGACATCAAGTGAAACGTGATTGAAAGGCAAAATATCAGAACAAAAAAAAAATAAAAAAAAATAAAAAAAAATAAAAATAAAAAAAACAAAAAAAAACTCTATTATTAATGACTTTGATTCGGAGACAACAACTGTTGGTTTTTATGAAAATTTTTGGAAAAATTAAAAAAAAAGAAAAAAAAAAAGAAGAAACTTTTCTAAGAGAAAAATTTTTCAAAAATTTTTACTTTTCACTTACATCACTTAAAAATGCTCTCATAAATCATTATAACTTATAACTAATGTGGTTTAGATGACAATAGATGGGTGGTGTGTTCATATGTATGTACATGTGAGAACGATAGAATAATTGCGTTTACTCTCTTACCATAACACTGTGCCATTCATCACGATTTAAACCTTCACCTACTGTAACGCTAGTAGAATGTTTACCAAAGACATGAACCACTTTCAATTGCCCTTTTTCCACAATTACATATAAAGCGTAAGGATTTAAATTGATGCGATCTGGATTTTTGACATTATGATAAACGAGGAGACCGTGTGGCAGGCGGGTACGAAATTGGAAGGATATCTCGCGACATAAACTGTAAAAATTTTTAAATATTACTGGATCGACCGTTCGTACATCACAATAGTATACATAGTACATATATCCACTTTTTTTGATGAAATATTATTTTACGGTAAAGTTTAATTTTAGAGATATAACTTGAACATTTTTATTTGTTGTTTATCTACTCAAACTTTAATTTCATTTTTTTTCAAGTTTAAACGAATCTTTTGAAAAATAATCTAAAAATAAACTGTTATATTATATCAACTATATAAAAGAAAATCGCAAAATTAAAGATTTTTTTCATCTCTGACAAGAAATTCTTCACAAGGACATCAGTGTCAAAGATAATTGTAAAATTTCTATGCTTGCGATTTTGATGTCATCAACACTGAACACTTAAGATATCTTGAAAACTGCCGCGAACTAAGTTATGCATTCGCGGATTATGATCCTTTGAACAAATACATAAATAATTTTCGTTTTAATTTTCTTTTTTATTTATACTAAAGAACTGGGGATCATCTCTATAATGAACATTAAATTTTTAAGTAATTGATATAAAAAAAAAGTACAAAGTAATTGGTGGTAATTGTATCTACAAGAAATCTTTTTTTTTATTATTATAGACATTTGCTTAACTTGATTCTGCATTCATAATTAATTAATTTGCATTTTAAAATAACGTAATAAAAATGAATAATATTTTTACGATTATATGTAATCCAAAGCTACAGGAGCACTTTTCCATCTTCGCCAGCGAATCTTTATTCACGTGTAATAGATCTCTTCGTATACTACTTTGTATTAATACAATTAATTACCAATTAATAAACTAATGTAATGTCAAAAAAAAAAAAAAAAAAAAAAAGAAAAGAAATTCGAGGAGTTGAGGATTTAGAACAAAAAAAAAAAAGAGGAAGTGTTAAGTGTTTAAAAAGGTATGAAATATAAGTTTGAGTTGGAACATCTCGATAAGAATGAATGAATATACAAATAAATATATAGTCATCATTTGTATTAAGGCAAATGAAGCAAAGAACACTTTCACTGAATTAACTTGAATTCAAATTGAACAATTTCAACTTTACTGTATCTTATCCAATAAAGAAAATGAAACAAAGAGAGAGAAAGAGAAAGTTATTACTTTATATCAAATCCATGTAAACATATTCATCTTTTCGTTTAGAGAGCAATAATGTGAAAAAAGTTTTTCTTTACATCTAAGCACATTATACCAAAATTGATAGCATAATTTTAAGCGCATACGAGATTGAAAATTAACAAAATAAATGAAAAATAATTTTATTCTACTTTTAGAGAGTGGCCTTTTGTTTGTTTGTTTGTTTTTTTTTATTTTTTTTGTTTTGGAAAAATTTTACAATTAAAGTATATTTATTTGATGGATTTTGTAAGAGTAATAAGAAGTAGGAGAAAAGTTCAATTTAATTTTCTGTGCATTTTAGATGATTTTACGGTTAAAAGCTTAAGCTATTGTAAGTAATGTTTTATATATTATTCTTACCGTAATTGAAATGTTTGTATAATATCACCGTCAATTTGTATGAATGTGTTATTCTGAGCAAAAACGAAAGTTTTCTCTTGACCCGTTTCGGCGAAAGTTAATTCAGGGCCACGTTGTTCAAAGGGTATGGGGCTTGTGTCAAAGTCGCCAAATGTGGGCGGCAAAGAAAACGGCAGCAAAGCCTGTGAGGCATCTGTAGTGCTAGGTTCGTGGGTAGTCGTTTGCAAAAACGGCGGTAAAGTGTCTGAAATGAAAAGTAACTTAGGCCATTCACATGAGCTATACTAATAGGTAGAAAAAAGTAAATATTTTATTTGAAATTATTATTATGCACTTAAGCAAAACCGTAAGCGACAAAATATGAAATGAAAACATTTTCGTTTTTTTTGTTTATTTTCTTGAAATTTAAAACATCAATAATAAAAATTGCTTACGTGGTGCTCCTATGCAATGGAATAAACACTCGGCTTCACTATTAAAACGATTTTGAGGATTACCATCGCAACCACCCCATATATACGAGGAGCATTCATTTGTTGTTGGCTCATAACGCCATTTGTACGTGTATTGCTTGCAGGGACCAGGGTCTGCCGGTCCCGTACATTTCTCATAAATTTTTTCTTTAGGTAAAGCAACAATATTACCACTACTGCTACCGCTATTCACCGTACCGTTCATAATGCCCAGTAAATCAATATTCGTACCAGTGTTGACAGTTGCTAAGCCAATAGCATTATTGTTGGTTAAATTAAGACCGACCACCGGTACACCACCGACACCAACCGTACCTACGCCAGCATTAGCATTGGCAGCCGTAAGGGTGTTAGCATTGATTAAACCGGTTATTGGATTGAGGCCAGTATTTAACTGTGTATTTGCATTAACGCTATTAACGTTGTTCATATTCATATTGTTGTTGTTAGTGTTGCCGCTCTGAGTGTTGGAAATGCTCGAAGTAATGCTGCTACCGCTGGCCGAGGGCGTTAATAAATGTGTATTGGTGGCGGTAGGTATGGCAGCAACATAAATTAATAAGGAACTTGTACTGAGTAAAATAGGAAGCCATAGCCAGTAGCAGTATAATAAGAACGGTATTGTTGTCAGATTTTGGGTAAGTGATGACATTATATTGTTTCTGTGCAGTTTTATTTTTGTTTGCATATAAAAAAAAAAAAATAAATAACTGGCGAATTTGGCTTTTATTACAAACGTATACAATCTGAAAGAGAAAGAAAGTCAAGGTTAATAAAAAGAATTCTAGAAAACAAAACTTATAAAGAATGTTAATTAAATATTTCAAAAGAGAAAAAAAGCTTTATTTGCGTGTTTACGCTTTTATTGACATCAAAAAAAACAAAAAACAGGGGACAGTATTTGAAAAGTATATTTCACAAAACTTAAATTGACTGGCACGGGATGGGGACGAAATGTATAAATGGAATTCTTTTGAAAGCAAACACTTTTGTATCAAAATTGCTTCATTAGTCTTTGCTCTGTTGACGGTACACAATGAAATTAATCTCGATTGAAATTTGGGATCATTTAGCGTCTAACTTATTTCAGTTTTTGTTTGTGTGTTGTGTTGTGTTTTCTGCTATCTGTGCTATCTGATTAATCAAAAGATGGAAACGCGTTTATTATGTTTAATACATTCGGTGGACAGTTCATTGCACAGGCTTTTAACTGTCGACGAAACTTCGGTCTACTATTCAACTTCCAAACATTGACTTTCTAGCTAAATGCCACTGAAAACCTAGCGTAACAGAATGACATTACAAGATATGATAGGGATGCTGGTTGACGGATTCTAGAGTAATGATAAAGACACAATTTATCGATCGAGGGAAAACATTGTCAATCTCTGCATTGGAAAACAGAAACTCTGTGCAGTTGCTACAACCAAATGACACGGTTACTACAGATATCTGCCGAAGTCATCTGAATCAATTGACCGATATATTGTAGCAGAAAAGACGAGCAATAGTGATTAACAGACGCAAAATTACTCGCTTGCATGACAACGCGCGACCACACGTTGCAAAAGTATTCAAGAATATACTGTTGTAGCTCGAACGGGAAGTTCTACTGCACTCAGGCAACTTGCCAAACATAACGTCTTCTGATTACCACTTGCTCAGATCGATGCAAGATGGTTTGCGCCCGCGATTTTGAAATGCTGAAGAAATGCGAAGATGTGTCGATGATTGAATTGTTGTCAAACCAATCGATGGGACCGATGGAATCGAAAGATGGGAAAAATTTGTAGAAAATGATGGAAAATATTTTGATTAATATATATTTTGTACCAATTTGTCTCAAGTCTCAAGTCTTTTTCACGTGAAAAAATGATCAAAATATCGTGCATCCGAGCACCCTACAGATCAGTAACAAAATAAAACTTTAAATCTGTCTTAGAGACGTCCGTGTGTTACATACATCTGCGGTGAATTTAATATGCCCTGTAGCGCAGTTCAATCCGGAAGAAAGTATGCCGTTGAAAGAGTGCCTTCGCACGTAAATACGAATCAATTTTCGTATTTTATTGCGAGAATAAATCTAGAAATGTATCACACGAAATGTTGTAAGGTATTTATCGCATGGCATAAAATGATATTTGCCCCTTAACAGAGCGTCTTCAACGAAATTAATAGTATTAAGGGTCTTAAGCTCTTGATATATTTTTTAGCGATAAATAAAACTTTGTTAAGAACGCAACGTATTTGTGGATTTATTTTCAAACTTTCGCACCACACTTGAAGTCTCTTTTAGTTTCTGTCCGGACGTAGATAGCTAATTCACAGGACAGATATTCCGGAGAATTGTAATCGTAAAATAAACAAAATCGAGTGAAATGTACTTATGATGATCTGCTTGCCATTCTAATTGTGTGATTATTCCATGGAGCGAGGGCTTACTTTCATGGCTGGTCTGTCAGCCGTACTCTAAGGAAAATGCTTTGCCGCTAGTGTTGCATGTCACCTATCTGAGCTTGGGTACAATTGTTATTGTTGATAACAATAATTTTTATTTATCTATATTTTTCGAGTTTATGTTATCAGTATTGTGTTGCAATAAGTAAGGAAAGTGCCTGATCTAAGCATGAATATTCGATTGTTTACAAGAAGCTATCAACCTTAATAACGTATAGTATGCACAATTGATTGATAGCTAATAGCCACAAAAGTCAGTGGTTGAAGAGCATCGGATACAATGGGTATCACTCGATTGATATCGAGTTCCTTAACCAACCGTTAGCCGGTGTATATATATATATGTGTGTGTGTGTGTGTGTGTGTGTATGTGTATAAAGGAGGCTGAAAATTTTGCCAAGCGAGCCTTAAGCATGTGTAGCAAAGAACTCAAGGGATGCTCAAGGGAGGCGAGAGTGCGTTCAACACCTTTTGATAGCCTGCAGCATCGATGTAAGATGAGCTATGCTCTTCGACAAGCAAAAACTTCGTGGCCAAATCTTTCCTCTATTTTAAAAGAGCTTTATATCAAAGGGAAAGATGTGATGGATGGTCTTTTGCTCTCTTACTGTTTTTTGAGCTTCTGAACTTTCTGATCGTAAACTGGAGTCAAAGTGATTTTTACAAGGATCTTTCAAAGTTATTTTTACAACATTTCAACAATCGGATCATGCGCCGGATGCATCAAAACTGATAAGTTAAGCGCGTTCAATTTTTCCCGAGGCAATAATTGCTTTTCAGTTGTGGCGAGTTCAGAATTCAAAAAACAAAATTGCTTTCGACTTAACTGACAAACGCTGCATTGTTATTATGTTATGTAAGGACTCGTATCACTTGTGTATGGTTTATAATTACTCGATCCTAAAATCATCATCCATTGAATATGTGGGCTAATGAAGACAATGCAGGTGTAATGAAGAAACTCTACCCGCAATCTTATGTCATAATGGATTTGAGTCTCGAAAACTTGTTTTGAAAATTTATTGTAATGATGTTTACTTTAACGTTGTTTCTCATTTATTTATATGCAACGTATATGTCATAAAATAAATAAAATATATATATGCGTATAACTGTGTATGAACGCGTTTCATCTATCTATTCATCACTATCGTCTTTGTCATCGTCATTGTCTTCGCCGTTGTCATCATCTTCATCATCATTATCGTTATCAACCAAATATCAACATCATTCTCGATTTTTGTTTGGTGTTTGGTGTACGTTAACTTAGCTGCGAAAAATATTTGACATTTTTTTTCCTTCTCTTTCACATTTAAATTACATTCAGTTTACAGAGTATAAGCTTTACATAACTCATCATCAGTTCAGAAACTAGCATTTTCAGTCGTCAAAAGCGCATTTTTTCTTCTTTTTTGTTTTCTTCATCTCTTACGTTCTTTTGCACAATCACTCTAAACGAAAACTCATATATATATATATATATATATATATATTTACTCATATATACACATGCACACATAAATTAGTTTCTTTTCTATATATAGATATGATTTTGTTAGATTTTCTTACTTAAACTGACGTAGAGTGGTTTTTTAATTCTGTTTTTTTTTTTTTTTTTTTTTTATTTCTTTTCTTTTTCGAATTCTTTCTTTGTTTTATTTTTTTATTTTTTTTTTTGGGTTGATATTTATTTCCGTTAGAATTGCAAAATAATGGTGCAACATGATTGGTTATATATATCAACTACACACAAAACATACCATGACCAAAATAAAAAATAAAAGTAAAAAGATGAAGAGCAGAGCACTGTGAAGTTGTTTTTTTTAAATTTTTTCTTTCACTTTATTCCCACATACTCTCGTTCACATACGACATTGACTGATGATGCTGAAGTGCAGATTTTTCCTGTGGAACTGGTAGAATTTACAATCCTTTCGTCATACGAAATGAAATGAATAGAAAGACAACCGCGAAAAATCAAAAGGATCTGAACGAAGCACAATGTAAGCGGTTACAACGGAGTCCTGGCAATTAGGCTACAAAAAAAAAAACAATAACAACAACAACAACAACAAGAATAACAACATGAATAACTATTGCAAACAAAAAACAAAACCAAAAAAAAAAAAAAACAAGAGAAAAAAAATGTAATTTTGGAAACAATTAAGAACACTATCACATATAAACTTTAGCAATTTGATATTCTAGGCCACATGAGGTTAAGAGGATACATTTTTTGTTTTTGTAAATGAATTAGGCAAACACCTGAGTGCGGTCCTATCAAGCAAATAGCAATTATATTAAATCGCACGAACATAATCGGCGACACGAATTATGCACGTTTTAGGTTAGGTGAACCCGTTCAATCAACATGTAATCTGCTTGTGTAAACAGCAACAAGTGACAAAGGACAAGAGAGAAGAATTGCAAACGAAGGCACAAGAAATACCATAATAAATTGAATGACTTATCCACGATGAGGGTAGTGTTTTAAGATATAAAGCAAATGCCAAGTGAATTAATTACACAAAATCAAATAAACGCTTTGAATGAAGACTTACGCCATAGGGAACAAAGTTTAGACAGTCATAGACATGTCTAAAAAAAAAAAAAAGAGAAAAAAAGCGGCCGAGTCGAGAGCAAAACATTTTTAAGAAATACAGGATAGAATTACAAATGGGATTTTTTATTTTTTTTTTTTGCCACGTCCAAGGATAGCTGAGATTAAGGGCATGCCTTTACGAATCCGCATCCAAATGGCCCGCTTTTATTATCGGCCAAATTTAAAGCTTATCATTATAAGCAACCCGTCAAAAATCTCATACGATGATACATATGCGCTCGTAGGGATCGGTTAAATCAGGTAGACGCAAACATTTGTTTAACCTTTGTCTGCCTCGATTGTTCCTCATAAGTTCGTATTTTGTTCGTCCGCATCCAACGCTAAAAATATAAATAAGTTTTTTGTATGAAAATCTGATAATATGTCGAGGGCATGATGAATTGAAGCCCTTACACCCTTCACCTCATCTTTAACTTCCACGAACCTTGGACGTTCCTTTATGATTCTACTGGGACATTTGTTAAGAATCTTTCTTGGTTTTTTGTTTTTTTTTTTTTTGGTTTTATGGAACTGCTTTCAAAATCTATAGCACAAATTCCTCCTTTCCATTTCAATTGGCTTGTGATACAACAACGACTTGTGTTCACTAAAAGTAAGATAATTTTTCAAAAATATTAAGCAAAAAAACACATTACATCGGGTCACGGTCCATCATTAAATACCCTA